TCAATTCACGTACCCATGCTTGTTTGTATCCGGCGAGGTTGCGGCTGCCTTGATGGTGTGCTGGACCTTGCATCAGTAAACGATGGTCCTGGGCATCCCTGTGCATTTTGAGGTACTCCTCCGTGAACCACCTGTCCACCATCATCGCCCAACACTCGGGATAAGCTTGGCACCACCAGGGAATCACCTACACGTCATCAAGTATTGGACATATAAGAAGATCAAATTAAACCAACTTAATCTCAAATCGAATCAATATTGATGTTCTTCATTTACCTCAAGGTACTGCTCCCGGGTCAGCTGCATCTCTCTTGCGTCTTTCTTGGTTTTCCTCTCTCCAAGCTTCGACCCGTAGTAGGTTACGATAGCCTGGATGCGTGCCTCGTGATGCATGTCGGTGACGAGTTTTTTACAGGCTTTGGTAGTCGCCTGCTCCGCCCTGGCCTCAAATTCCTCCTCGCATCTGTAATAAGTCTGCATACAAAAGCGATGTATCGATTCATTATTTCAAGAAAAGTCCAATGAATGCGACGTATTGAGCAATGTTGTGCAAGGGAGACTTACCCAAAACTCTGCCTTCACTCGCGCCGCCTTGTTGGGGTACTCCGCATCGGAGGTGACGACGTAGTGGTCAAACGAGTAGGCCGGCTCCGTCTTCGATGCGTACGTGACAATGCCGGGAAAGTGCTGCCTGCACACAAGACCCAGGATGCCGTTGACTAGCCGTGCGCTACCACCCGACACAACCACCCAGTTCCTGCACAAGTAATTAAGAAAAAATATTAGTTTTTTTCATCGTATCATATGAAGTAGTGGTGATAACATATACAGTTACTTACTTTTGTCCTTCGGGGTGAATCACTGGGCGTTGGTGAGGAAGCGGAACATGTGGGAGGCTCATGGGGACCTCGCAAGTAGACACTCGAAGAGGAGTTGGAGGAAGCGGAACCCAGAGACCGCCTCCCCCTCCTCCTCCTCCTCCTCCTCCTCCTCCTCCTCCTCCGTCTGCCGAACCAACTCCTCGTCTGACTCGTCCACGGGTGCCACCTCCTCCTACGGCTGGCGGTCCTCCTCACGTGGCGTGGGAGGAGACGGCCCCCTCCTACGGCTAGCGGTCCTCCTCCTCCTGTTCGATCCCTCTGCCACCCCCTCCGCCCCCTCCTGCGACCGGCGTGGTCTTTGGTAAATCGAGTTCACAGACCTATGACGGTCGCCCGCCATCTTTGTTCAATCACCGCAATAAAAAAAAAAAAAACAAGACGTAATTAGAAATATGTGCAAAAATAAACAAAACATAATTACAAAAAACATAGTATTACATGTATTAGAAATATATGCAAAAATGAACAAAACATAATTACAAAAAATATAATATTACATGTATTAGAAATAATCTTCATGATTGAAATTAGCTGGATCATAGGTCTCGTCATCACTATCAACATTGTCCAACTCATCAACACTATCCGAAGGAGGAATGTTGTCTTCATTGTCATTGCCGAAATGTAATCGCTCAAGCATTTGTATGTCCTTCAGATTTCGCACCTCGTCTCCAGCGTCCTCGTCATCATCCCTTTTATTATCTACTTCCATTCCTATCTCTTCGGTTAAGTCTATGTCAAACCTCCCTTGTAGCCCCTCTTCTTGATAGAACTCTCCATCATATGTGTTTGGGTTGAAGTTGTAATCTTCATCGTTTGGGACAGGTAGTTTACCGTGTGGCGATACCTTATGCACAATAGACCAACCCTTAAGATGTTCGACGTCTTTGCATGCGTATGACGTATAATAAACCTGGACGGCCTGTTGAGACACAATGTAGACATCTTTTCCTGGATAGATGGAATCCTGTCGAATCTCGACTAGCCCAAGCTTAGGGGTCCGTCTCGTTACACCAGGATGAAACCAGTGGCATTTGAATATGACAGGAGTAAGAGGTTTGAAACCATAAAATGATAGTTCGTAGATTTCTTCAATTCTTCCATAATAGTCGAGTCCATCAGTGCCGGGCGTAACAACTCCGCTGTTTGTGGTTTGTCGATTGGGCCGACTATGCTCGTAGCTTGCTGTGTGAAAACGATATCCATTCACGTCATAACCGGTAAATGACTTGACCCTAACGGCACAGCCATTTGCAACCTGTCTTAACTCATCACTTATAGGCGCATCAGTTTGGGCTTTCTGTTTGAACCAACAAATGAAATCGGGGCTCCCTGGTCCCGCACCCCGTGAAAGAAGGGTATCATTTTCTTGCGGGGTAGGTTGCCTTGATCCATGCCAGGATTGACGAAGAAATTCCCTGTACCAACGAGAAATAAGGGGGTTGGACGATGAAACAAGGACATACGGCGAAATGAAACAAGTTCGTTTAGAACTTACCGAATGAACGGTTGCACCTCGACAAGGTTGGTCAACACATATAGCATGATACTGCGCCACTCTTCATTTTTCAATTGCTTAGTGGTCGATGCACTTGCGCTTCCAAGTTGCCCTTGGAAAAGGCTGAGGTTCGATTCATTTTTGCCAGCATTGTAACGAGGGGGTGGATTATGAACGTTAGGAAGTTTCTCAGTGTAGTATTTCTCTGTGAAGTTCGACACCTCCTCTAGAATGTATGCCATGTTGTCACATACGATGCTTACAAACCAGGACATCTCCACATGTGATATCAGATACGCCTGTGCGGCTGTCCTGGTTTGTAAGCATCGTACGTGACAACTTGCACGAAATCTTCTGAAATTTTTATCATAGCCTCCACATATGATATCACGATATCTCAACAAGTTTCATGATTTTCGGACTTCGTTTGCTTTTTATAGAATTTATAAACACTTCACACGCAATTTCGCGGACATGTTTCGTGAACAAGATGTCCGAAATTTTGGGTCCTATCCTGGATACGGCCTCTCACAACACTCACTAACATGACTATCAATTTTCGAAGCATTAAACTCCATTATTCGTACCACATGCAGTTCAAATTTCTAATTTCCGGAAAAATTCAAGTAAACGAAATAAAGTAACTAAATATAACAAAAAGCCACAAAAAATCCCCAAATTATAACTAGGAGTTCCTGGTGCTTTAAAAAGGCTGCACAAAAAAATTGGAGGCCAAAAAACAAAAAACCAAAAAAACTTTGCCGAGCGCCGGGGCATGGCACTCGGCAAAGGGTATCTTTGCCGAGTGCCAGCCATCAGGCACTCGGCAAAGAATGTTTTAATTTTTTTTTAAATTTCCTCTTTGCCGAGTGCATCCACAGGATCACTCGGCAAAGAAATAATAAAAAAAATTAAATCTTTGCCGAGTGCCGTCCAGGGGGCACTCGGCAAAGTATTTTAAAAATAAAAAAATTTCTTTGTCGAGCGCCAGATCTGAGACGCTCGGCAAAGAATTTTAAAAAAAAAATTACATCTTTGCCGAGTGCCAGTTCTGGGGCACTCGGCAAAGAAATTAAAAAAATAAAATAAATCTTTGCCGAGTGCCTAACCGCAGGCGCTCGGCAAAGAAGGCTGTGACAGGACGCCGTTTCACGGGCAGCCTATGCCGAGTGTAGAGATTTTGCCGAGGGTCTGGCACTCGGCAAAGAAGTCCTTTGCCGAGTGCCCGTGTTTGCCGAGTTTCTGGCACTCGGCAAAGAAATCTTTGCCGAGTGCAATTCTTTGCCGAGTGCAGCACTCGGCAAAGAAGGTCTTTGTCGAGTGTCCGATTTTTGACACTCGACAAAGAATTTTACACTCGGCAAAGTCTCTGGAGTAGTGGGAAGAGAACCAATCACGCCCTAAGTGAACATCACCAACTACACAATAGAATATCATTGAATACGTTATAGAAAATCCCACATATATATTTGGAGCGCTACGCTGTAAATACTATTTAGGGCGCCGGCAACGATCCGCCGTCGGCTCCTGGCGATCAGTCCGCAACCGTAAATTAAGGCATGTTGTGATCCCGCGACCGTAATAAATAAAGAACGGGAGAGAGACGCCCCTGGTGGCCGTGTTCCGCAACCGTAAAAGAAAGAGCTGCATGCAACCGGCCCCGCAAAAGGCTGCCACTTTCCTGATTTTTCGCAGTAATTACTGCTGACGGGCTGCATGGGGGCGCCGTGGGTTTGACGTGTTGCATCTTGACCTTGAATTTCGTAGCGCGACATACAATGACCATAAAAGTTTGTTTAGACGTGGAATTTTTTGCACCGTGTATTTCGTAGCGCGACATACAATTTTTTGCACATGTGACCTATACATTACAGGAGATTGTATCTTCTTGATAAGATTTAGGCAGTCGGAGGCCACTAATAATTGATGAAGATTATGCTCCTTTGCAAAATACACAGCATAACGAACCGCCAAAGCTTCTGCCATTTCAACATCTGTAATTCGATCAATTTTATGGCAGCAAGCAGCTACAAAAGACCCTGAATGGTCTCTAATCACAATACCAATGCCCATCCGTGGTGGATCCTCAAAGGTGGCCGCATCCACATTCACCATTAGCCATCCATCCGCCGGCGGAACCCATTTTACTATGGATAAATTAGGTTCACACCTGTGAGATGTAGATGGTTCAAACATGTGTAGGGAAACCATTTCAGTGTAAGCTTTTACCTTCTCGGCAATACAATGAGGATGGACCCAACTTTCTCCATTCCGAACAGCATTCCTTGCTTCCCAAATGTGCCAAACAGTGATAGTAAAGATCCTCAAAACTTCATCTGATGCTTCAGCAAGGAATTCAAAAAACCATTGTCTAATTGAATTAAAGGATCTGAGATTTCTTTTGATTCCATACTCCTTCTTTACTTGTCGCCATACCTCAGATGCATATTGGCACATAAGCAGAGCATGCTCAACAGTTTCTTCTCGCCCACAGAAGCAACATGCATATGGTGCTGGGATGTGTCTATGCTTAAGTTGCATTCTGGTCGGCAAACAATCATGAGCCATTCTCCAAAGTATTATTTTCATCTTTGCAGGAGCCTTGATCATCCAGAGTCGTTTCATACCCTCTTTATTTTTGTCATATCAGAACTTTCCCCTTTTCCATTTACACTTAAGAATTTGTGGAATCCTTCCATTTTTGCCAAGTTGTAGGCTGATCTGACAGAGTAGATACCCTCTTTAGTATAAGGCCATGAAGGAAAATCTTCGCAATGGTTGTGCAATAATGGCAGTTGTAAGATTTGCTCAGCATCACTTGGATTAAAACACTCCTTAACCAGGTTCTCATTCCATGTCCCCTTAGCTTCATCTATAAGATAGCTTACTGTTGTGTCCACCTGTAGATTAATAACAGGTTTTAGCACACCCAAACCTTGAATCCAGCGGTCTTTTATCAGTTGAATTTTCTTGCCATTACCCACTCTCCATATTACACCCTTCTTCAATAATTCTCTTCCAAACATCAGACCGCGCCATGTGTAAGAAGAATTTCTTGGTTGTTTCGCATTCCAGAAGTCACCATGGGGGAAATACCTCCCCTTAAGCACCTTAGCACACAAAGAGTTTGGTACAGTAAGAATTCTCCAACTTTGCCTTCCTAGCATTGCTTGATTGAATAATTTCATATCTCTAAAACCCATCCCCCAACAGCTTTGGGTGCAGTCAGCCAATCCCAGGATCGCCAATGCATTTTCTTTCTGCCATCCTCGAAGCCCCACCAATGGTCAGATATAATTGATCTCAGCCTATTGCATACTCTGGGTGGAAGGCGGAAACAACTCATTACATATGTTGGAATTGCTTGAGCCACAGATTTGAGCATCACTTCTCTACCAGCTCTTGAGAGTGGTTGATCACACCATCCTCTAATCTTTTTCCAAATACGATCAGCTAGGAAATTAAAGGTGTTTGAAACAGACCTCCCCACCCAAGATGGCATACCAAGATAGGTTGATTGGAATGCTTCATTATGAGTATCAAGCCCGTTCTTTACTCTCTATTTGATTTGATCAAGGCAGCGATCAGAGAAGAGGATCGATGACTTATTAAAATTAATTCGTTGGCCTGATCCATTACTATACACTTGCAATACATCATTTAAAGCTTGTACACTCTTTGCATCACCCTTATGAAAAATATAGTATCATCATAAAAAGGAGGTGGGATACAGGAGGGCCAGTACTTCCATTTCTAACGCCTCTTAGATATCCTTGTTGCTCTTTTTCTTCATCAAAATAGAGAGCCCTTCTGCACATAATAAAAATAAATAAGGGCTGATTGGATCTCCTTGACGTAGGCCACGTGATGGACAAAAGGTTCAGATAGCTTTCCGTTAACTTTAATTGCATATTTCACATTTGTCACACATCTCATGATTGTTGCAATAAATTCCTGGGCAAAACCAAGCTTGTGCATAATACCATTTAGATATTTCCACTCCACTCTATCATAAGCCTTCATCATATCCACCTTCAAAGCAAAGAAAGGTGTTTTAGCTTTCTGCTTCTTAATAGTATGGATGCATTCATATGCAATTAGAACATTGTCAGTTATCAAACGGCCTGGAACAAAAGCGCTTTGCTCTTCTGAAATTATGTCATTTAAAAATATTTTTAATCTATTGACCAGAACTTTAGAAGCAATTTTATAGAGAACGTTACATAAACTGATTGGACGGTAGTTTACCAAGTGTTCTGCCTTAGATATCTTAGGGATTAGCACAATTGTGGTATCACAAAGTCCCTTTGGAATGTTCTCGCCATGAAGGAAACTTCTGACAGCTATGCATACATGTAACACCTCTGGTATTACGAGCTTGCTTAGCACCTAGGTTAATGCTTAAGAGTAATTAGCAAAACAAGTTTCGGGTTTAAAAGTTTAAAGCACACATAGAATTATAAACGAATCTTGCGTGACTCGCTTTCGTAAATAAAACGAACAAATAAGTGTCACTAGTCAACTTGTCTCGGTGCTTAATAACTTTTAAATAATCTTGTGGACAAAAGTTGTTTAGGGCTTGTTTTGGAAAAGTATGAAGAATGTGCTTAAAAATGCCTTATAGTAAATAAATAGCGAATGGCTTGTTTATTTGATTAAGTATGAAAAACAATTTTTATAAACAAAAATAAAATATAACTTGTAATTGTTACTTAAATAAAATTTGAAGTGCAAGTTAGTAGATAAAAATGCAACTTTTGAATCGGCGAAAATTCGAAGTTGTGTTGAAAGTACACTTTTGGCGTTTTATAAAATGCAAAATAGTTAAATTAAGCCCGGATGTTTTGGTTCTATTATTTGGTATAAAGTGTGTACTATGTCATGAAATGGTTGTCGGTGAAATTTGGTAAATTTTGACCATTTAAAAATTCAACCAAATTCAACTCAAGGCCAATTTTCAAGTTTAAAAATAGTGTGACAATGCTAAATTGGAGTTTAAATTCTGATTAAAATTCTTAAACACTAGTGTCATGTTTTTATTTAGTGATGTGCACCAAGGCGAGCACTCGAGAATGGTGTAGGTCGGGGTGGAAATGGGTGCCACGGCGCCCTCGTAGAAATTGACCGAACTTCGCTAGAACGCATTGAACCGTGTCGTTGGCGCTCTGTTCGTGAACCGACGCCTGTAGCGAGCGATCTCAGCCGCTCACCACAACTACCTCGCCCCGCTCGCTCTCGGCCGTTCATTTCACCTACCGAGCTACTGCTGTCGTGTATTGCCTTCTTCCTCCCTCTGCTTGCCTCTGCTTGCTGGCCTCCACTCTGCCTCTGGTAGCCAGACAGCCAGCGCAGACAGCGCATTCATCTTCACGCCACTCCCTCCCTAGCTCGCCTCCCTCTGCTGGCCTCGGGCGAGTCGGCGCATGCCATGCCCGCTGCCCCGCAGCACCCGCCAAGGCCGCGCTAGCCGTCGCCCTGCCCCCTCACGAGAGCGCGCGAGTGCGAGCGAGCCGCATGGCCCCGCGCTGGACCTGCGGCTCCACAGCGTTGCCCAATGGCACCCGCGCGTGGCTCCATCCCTGCTCCTCCACCGCTGCGCAGCTGAAAGGATCAAGATGCCCAAGAGGGGGGTGAATTGGGCTAATTCTAAATTTTCTTGCAATAATCAAATCCTACGGATAGCCCAATTAACCCCTTGAGCCTAGAAAAAGTGTTTCTATCAAATCAACACACAAAAGACTTGCAACCTATGTTCCAAACTTACTCTAGTATAGCAATTCTATGAATGTAAAGACGAGTATTGAATTGCTCAAAGTAAATACTTAAAGTAAATGCTCAAAGTAAATGGATAGAGGAACGCGGCGATGTTTTGCCGAGGTATCGGAGAGTCGTCACTCTCCACTAGTCCTCGTTGGAGCACCTGCGCAAGGGTGTGGCTCCCCCTTGATCCGCGCAAGGATCAAGTGCTCTTTACGGGTTGATTCTTCGACACTCCGTCGCGGCAAATCACCCAAAACCGCTCACAACTTGAGTTGGGTCACCCACAAGCTCTCAATCACCACCAAGCCGTCTAGGTGATGGCGATCACCAAGAGTAACAAGCATGAACTCTCACTTGACCACGCGAAGCCTAATGAGAAGATGGATGCACACTTGTCTACTCTTGATTCACTAATGAGGTTTCACTCTTGGATTCTCAAATCACAAACACCTCACTAGGACCTTGCTCTTCTTGGCACTCACAAACGTGTTTCTCAGCTGTTGGAATGAGCAAAAGTCACTCCACACATGAGTGGAGCTTCTATTTATAAGGCAGCCTGAAAAACGAACCGTTATGAGCTTCTGCGGGATGACCGGACGCTCCGATCGTATTGATCGGACGCTCCGGTCAGTTCAATCCGCGCAACAGTTTCCAAGTGATGACCGGACGCTGTCAGGGTCCGGCCAGCACTGACCGGACGCGTCCGGTCGCTCTTGAATGCTTACTGTAATCGACCGGACGCTGGATACTCAGGGTCCGATCACCACTGACCGGACGCGTCCGGTCACACTTTCTCAAGTCAGGACCCTTACTGGAGTTGACCGGACGCTGGCCCTCAGCGTCCGGTCACATTGACCTTCCAGCGTCCGGTCACACCAGACTTGTTCTCCTCGGTCAAATGAACTGACCGGACCCTGCGGCCAGCGTCCGGTCGCACCGGAGCCAGCGTCCGGTCAGTATTTGACCCTCCATTCACTTCCAACTCTCGATCATATGAGAATGAAGTTTGCTCCAAAGGATCTTAGGCATTCATAGGAGCTACACAGAGCTAGTTTTAACAAGTGTGCACCACACCTAACTCACTAGACTCAACTAGGTCAAGCTACCCGTTCATACCCCCCTTAATAGTACGGCCAAAGGAAAAAACAAAGTCCTAAACTATTCTAAATATCTCTCCAACTCCAATCGACACTTAGAACTAGTCATCCTTAACCTTGTTGTTAATCCTTTGAAAATCGAAACGATTTCCATCGTAGGGGCATGACAACCTCGATTGCCCAATCGATCTCCATTACCATGACCTAACTTTATATGCCTCTGCAAAACACACGTTAGTCATAGTAATCTTGTATTGACATTAATCACCGAAATCCAACTAGGGGCCTAGATGCTTTCAATCTCCCTTTTTTGGTGATTGATGACAATACCACCTCGAGTATGTGAAAGAGTGAGGTTTTTTTTGACGGACTTGGTTCATATAAGCTTTTGTCGATAAGAACAAAAGTGTTAGTCAAGCTTATATGACCCAAGCCAACACAATGTACTCAAAGGATATTAATTAAGCATGAGTACAAATAACAAAGCTCATTTGCTTCGAAGTTTAAACGCGGAAGCAAAAGCAAATGAGCATAACACAAGTGATATGACATTTAAATAATGCAAAGTAGAAAGCACACATGTCATATTTCACAATCACGTAGATAGCACTACCACATATATATAATAGTATGCATGAAAGTAAACACACGAATGCATAAGTAATAGTGTATCACACAAATAGAACTCCAAATGTATATAATAGGCTAATACTAGATAACTAGCTCCCCCTAAATGTAGCTCCCCCTGAGACTACATACTCGAACACCCTCTCCCCCTTTGGCGTCAAACACCAAAACCTAGGGGTCGGTCGGCGGGGCAGCAGCGGACGAGTCGGGCGCTGAAGAACGTGGGGCAAGCTGGAACCGGGCACCATCATCATCTGACCCTGAGCTCTGAACTGACTGACCCTCTGTGGCAGGAAGTGTCGCTGAAGCGGTCTAGGTCTGAGCTGGGGCTGGTGCTGCCTGTGAAGCTGCTAGTATGTCTGTCGTAGGATCTGACGAGGCGACAGACGAGGGGAGCCTCTGAGTAGTCACAGCGACTGGGGCTACTGTAGACGGACCGGCAGAATGCATATGAGGCGGAGTAGGCATGCCGGTCAACTCGCTGAAGGATGCTCCAAGACTCCTAGAGACTGACGTGTCAGGCACGAATAGCGAGGAGGACTGCTCTGGTGTGAAGCCCGTCTGAAGTGGAGTGAACTGCGGGGCTACCATGGGTGAGGCCAACCACTGGGACACCTGTACAAGAGGTGAAGCAAATTGAGCTGGAGGCTGTCCTCGACTTCAAGCCCAGCCCTGGGCTGTATAAGCTGGAGTCGTTGTGGTGGAAGCAGTCTGAGCAA